ATGTAGCAGACATGGCGTCCGAGCCATCGAGCATGGAAAAAGAGCCTTCTGAGCTTATACTCGCTGCTATTAGTCAAGGTATTTTTATTAATAAATAATGTTTGTTTTATCATCATATATAAATTATCTCTCAAAAATTTCTCGAATAAATTGTTAGTCTATTAATCCTATCAATATTTCTAGAGATATGTAATATTTTATTTTATTTTCGCAGCGAATCAATTAGTAGGAATGTTAAATTCAGCGTTAAATGTAAGTGAAACGGAAACTGTTCTTGCATCGCGTGGGGTATCGGCATTAACAACACCACCAAGTTGCGAAGCGACTGGTTGTCCATCACCACGATTGCACCTTCATCCTCAGCAACCAGCGATATCAATTGCGAGTTTACAACCAGTGTGTCACTCTTTAACCTCTCAATTGTCACAATTACTGGTAATACTCCACTTTTGACAATGTACCTGTGTATTAGATTGTCCCAAAAATTTCTTTCGTTTTATAAAGTAATAAATTATAATTAGAAGTAATAAAAGAACAACATTTTATGTTTTGTTCTATAACCAAATGGGCCATATATAATTGAGTATAATAAAATAAAACAAAAAATTTTGTGCATCTATTACTTCCTTATAAAACGAAAAAAGCTTTTGGGACAACCTAATACTTAAAGTTGAAAAAAACAATGCTTTTTCAGTAAAATGTATTTTCTTATATATTCTAGGAAATTATAAAAGAAAGGGAAGAGGAACGTGAAACGTTGAGAAAAGAGTTACGCAGAAGTAGAGAACGTCTTCATGCCCTTGATGCAGATATACAACGTCGTGAATTTTCAGAAACATGCACTGTGTCAAGTCAAACACAAACGAAATCCAGTTAGTTCATTACTTTTTCAATTTTTCAGAATGTGGGTTGATAATATTCTTTGATCTACAATGACGACCATATACTTACGTACGGTTGACAAAATTAAATTTTACTTGTTTTAATTACAAAAACTGCAACGTACATAAGTAGGTTGTCCGCTATAAAATCAATAGCTTGGATCATAATACTTACAAAGCACCTCATTTCTTGGAATAAAGATATTCTCGGAATATTAATTTCTTTCCTTTTTTGGGGGGGTTTTTAGGTGAAGTTTTAAATGCAGATAGCAGTATTGACGATCCCACTCGTGATGTAAGGATCTTAATTTAACGTGCTAGTAAATTAATCCCGTTTCTAACTTCTCCTTAGACTATTTATGTCATAAATTTAATATTACTCTGTTCACAGGAATTTGTGGATGCACGTGGTGAATCTGAGACAAATGAAGAATCAGAACACATAGAACATGAAACAGAAACAATAGTAATGGGGGATAGTGTTGGTTGAAACGTGCATGATTATTGTATCAAAATAATGTCGACCAGGTGCATTTTACGAGCAAAATCGTTTCCGAATGCTCATACTGGAAGAAATCAAAATTATGTAAAAAATGACAAATGGCGAGTAGCTGTTTATGGAATACAATAATATTAGATACATATTTACAGAGTCATGGGTCAATGATTAATCATACCTTTGCCAAAGATTTTATGTAACTGGATCTACATGACGTAGTAGCATGGCGCGCATACGTCATATTATATCAATGACTGGAAATTACATAAATTTTTTATTACCAATAGTATAACGACGGAATTTCTGAAATAATATGGTGAAGGAAATCTGTTCAAAAAGAGAATCCCATATAGATTGCTATAACTCAAGTTTAATCTCTCTCTCTCTCTCTCTCTCCCTCTCTCTCTCTCTCTCTCTCTCTCTGTCTCTCTCTCATATACTATACACACACAAATACATAGATTAATAATTTAAGTAGGAGCTTTATATGATTATTGAAGAATTCTTTTACTGTGAATTATTTTAAAATCTACACTGTTATAGTACTCTAATAATACTTATTGTATAAAAGTTGTTACATCATGTCTTGAATGATATCGATTTCTATAACATATTATTTTATATACATCGATTTGTATACTGAAAATCTTTCCTTAAGATGCTTTTTAGGAAACAAGTCAACTCTTTCGAAGTTACTTTGAAATACTTATTACTAGTGCATTTTATACAGAAACATTTACGTAAATGTGTTGTATACGTTTAGCGCAACTTAGTCGTTCGTTTCAAGAAACTACCTTTTGTGATCTGCTACGGCATATTTGGAACCAACTGTGTTACTATAATAATTCAATAGTCATGAAATATAATTTGCATTTATATAAAGATATATGATCAGAAGATGCGTCGATATTTCAAAGTATAAAAAAAATGCAAAGCATATATTAATGGAAAATAACGATTTTCAACTAGTTATCATTGAATAACACGCTTTTACATACTTTCCTTATATTTCGTGACCAAATGTTCAGGATATTCGATCCAGAGGCGGAAATGCTGATTGATTCCTAAATTGTATCAATTAAACGAAAAGCACCTAATGGTAATTATTAACATAATATATCATATTATTTCTGTTATGATACAAAACATAAGGCAAATGTGTTTGCATCCTAATGTTTATTATTATTATTATCATGACTATGATTATTATTATTAAAATTATTGCAGCCTTGAATTATTATTTTTATAATTTATAGTAATTTTACAACAATTACAATAACTTAAACCAATGTAAAGTCAATTCAAAAAGTTACTAAAGTTAGTAAAACGAAAAGGAAATAGCTGAATTTCATATAATGCTAAGAATAATTCTATTCTATATTCTTACTAATAGTTTACAATAACAATATGTTGAAAATAATTAAATTTTGACCAACAAATTTATTAAAAACTTTGTTCTTAATATGTAGTTAAATGTATTTAACTTTTAAAAGATAGAAAAACAATTAAGTTATTAAATTTATAAATCACATTAATACAGTGTATTAGTTCATAGTTTCATTTCAATTCTTTTGTCAATACTTTATTTAATTATTTAACCCTTGTTTTTTCCTTCTTCTTAATAACTTGGAAAGCACAAGCATTTAATTCGACATAAAATCTAACATAAAGAATCATAAAAGTGTGTTTACAAAAATTATTTAAGAATTTTTAAATACATGTTACTAATAACGAACTTGTAATAAAATTCAAAGAATTGTTTACAACCAAACCATTCTAAGTAATAATTCATAAAGTATAATTAAAATGTACCTACTTGTAATGCATTAGGCATCATAAATCACACGTTCTGGATCTTTTGTAAGAGAGATCTTTTACTTTCTTTACAATAAGATTTCTTTTTAGTAAAGATTAATTTATAACATAGTATTTACTTATTATAGAAAAATCACGAAATTGAAAAATTAATATCTATATCATTTATACAATCAGTATGCATATATGTATATATAATGATGCTTTTCATTATTATGTAAAACTGCATAAACATGAGAACAAAATTATGAATTTGTATCTATTCTGTTGACTTTTCCATATTATTTACTAACAACATTTGCTTTGAAAAACAATATTTACCTCTTGGTGCTATACTTGCCTAAATGAACAATCAAGTTCCTCTTTTGATTATAATGGAATTTAGAAATAGAAATAAGAAAGTAAACAAAGATTTGTATACTATTTGTAGACTCCTGAACATGATTGGTAACTTCAAAATTATCAATATTCATAGATAAAAAAAAACTATAACTAATGTAAAACACTTTCTCAAATGAATTTATAATAAATAAATATATAGAATCATGCATAAGTGAAATATTATAACAAATATTTTACTGCTGTTTAATTAATACTAATATTGGTTTATCAATGATACTTTCGAATTAGAAAACACAGTTGGAGTGACAAAATGTACTTCTTTTTGTAACAAAGGACTGATCGTGCGAAAAAGACTTACCTGTTTACATAAAATCTTTGCTACTATTAAATACTAATAATTCCTTAATGATAAAATGCGAATAATTATAAATACATTACTATGTATATGTATAAAGTATTTAATAACATTATTAGTTGATATTATTGATTATTATTATTATATTATTATTGCATTAAAATACTTATAAATTGTAAATTATCTTGTAATTCTTTTACATTCTTTTACCTGCATAAACGAATCCTAGCATTCTTTATTTTCCTATAATTTTAAATTTTTGTCATGTATTACTCTATATCAGGATCTAAATAGATTTAATTTGTTATTATTGCTTTAACTTTTTTATACGTGAATATTATATGAAGATTAGTTTCAATAATTTATATATTATATTTTGTCTGTGTTAATAGACAAATTCAACACATTTGAAATACAGTTTCATTATCGTTACCAAAAAACTCCTCTTCAAGTTTATTTTAATAACTTTTGTAATTTGGTTCTAAAATGATATTTGAAATATGTAAATAAATGTAAAACTTATCTATCTGATAATGTTGCGCAAGAACAAAAATATTTCGTGTATTATTAAGTATATAGAATGTTAATTTTAAATTGAACATTTAAATTATTTCCAACATTATTAAGGCAAAGACTAAAAGAGGACTTAAATGTTTTCGAGGTGTGCATTTGGTTGTGATGAAAAAAAGACCTGTGAAGGTCATCTTGATAGTGTTTCAAACATTTCATTAAAATTTGTTTGTATGTCAACATATATTTTGCATAATGCGATATTGTAGTATACGTAAAAATAAGTTTAGCAACTTAATTACAATGACCTTGAAGTGGTACCTTGCAAACGAAAGAATAATTTTAAATTGGAAGGATATAAATCACATAAATTACACGTTTTATCGACAGGAAGTAAAATTAAAAATTCTTGGTTGGACGATTTTTTAAACTTGCTTGTAACTAACCTTGCTTAATTGATTCCTTAGATTCTGAACTTTCATTTCAGCCCTCAAAAATTAAAAAATTCTGCCCAGCAGCTGAAAAATTTGGATTTTCTGATTTTGCCACCTCGATTAGTTTCATCTATTCACCGTTAGATGGTAATAGTATTTTATAGTCCAAGTATTGCCAACGTTAGGAAAATTTTAGTTAGAAGATTGTACACTTGATATAAGAATTTAACCCTAAAAATACGATGTTTAACACAATCTAAAAATATATATTATTCGTACATTCAAAACTAAATTTTGAATACAAACTGCAGAATGTCTCTTCTGCGCAAAGGACAGGTTAACTTTTTTATTTACTTCATTTCATTATTTATGTTTTCTCAAATTTTGTAGGTTAATGAATTTAAAAACAATCTTTAAAAATTTTTTCGTTAAATGCACCTTAAATGTCTGTCACTACATTTTGATATTACACTAATTAATTAATTTATCATCTATTCATTTCACTTCTAGCATTGGGGTACTTTTGCATGTGTTTGGCACATTTTCGATGCAACTTGGCAAAATCCATATAAAAGTGCACATTTGATAAAAAAATACCTTATGGGATTATACAAACCTATATATCATCCTATGAGTAAGTCAAATGAAATATATACATATGCATATAATAACACAGATTGCAAGATTGGCATAAATAATATTCTAAATGTTAATTTTTATATAGACCAGTGTGGTGACCATGTAATAGTAATAAATAGCAAAGAAATTGCATTGCGTGGAGATGAGTGGCAAAAGCGAGTATATTTTCATCATACTGGATTCCATGGTGGAGCTACTTGGACTCTTGCATGGGAATTACATAGTAAAGATCCTACTATGGTAGTTGACAGATTTTCATAAACTACTAATATATTAAAAAATTTGATTGTATTATTACACTATATATATTTTTTTATTTGTAACGTATAGATTGTTAAGAAAGCAGTTTATAGAGCAATGGATGGAACTCTGCAAAGAAGATATACCATGCAGAGGTTACACATTTTTCCTGATGATAATGTACCCAAAGAAATGTTAGATAATGTTACCAATCAGATTAAACAATTAAGATCTGTTCCAGTTAAACTGTATGATATTCCACAAGAGGAAAGAGATAAAATTCCACGACTTATAAAATATCCTAGTGATTACCAGCTCAAATAAAGTTATATATATAGATTTAAAATAAATTATCACATTATTTTAAAAAATTTGTTTGTTTCATTTTGATAAATTGTCACATAAAAGTAATGGAAAGATATTGAAAAATAAAGCAGTAAAATTTATATAGCATATTTTACTTTTTACATTTATTTACAAATTGTGAAATGAATTAAAAAATATTATTCATTGATAATTGGCAACACACCTTTAGGTTTCAATTGACTATCCAAAATTTTCTGTTCCTGTTCTTCCTTTTCTTTCAATAATCTACTATGTCGTTCAACTGCAAAATCAATTTCTCCAACTAGTTTAATAATTCTTCTCTGTAAATTAAGCATTTTATTTATTACGCCATTTTACTGAAAATTTTATTAAGAAAATAATGTTTGAAATAATACCATATATTCTTGATGCTTTTGTATACGCTTCAACTGTCTTGAAGCATATGGGACAGGTTTATTATCTTTAAAAGAATAGTCAGACAAAGTAACCAATGGACCAGTAGTATTTGGATTTTTTGTCAAGTTTCTTCTGTAATTATTAAATCATATGACATTTCACAACTAATATATATAGATATAAGTTTATATTTTGCATAAAATTTATCCTTACGCTGCCCTCCATCCCTGATCCAAATATATTGGGAAAGATGTATGAAATTTATTGATAGCAACAGTAAAATCTAAAAAACAAAAATATAGTTGATATCTGAACAAATTTTGTGGTTATTGTATAAAAATAGTAAAAGTTTAACAATTGTGATGGAATATATATGGTTTTAGTAGAGTAATTATTTCATCATATTGTAACTATTTTAAATAATTTCACACTAACGCGTCGAATAGCTTGTTCGAAGTATTGTTTTTGCCGTAGATAATGACATTTTATTTCGACAATATTTTTAAGGAATATTTATAATGCAGTTCATTTAAGTGATACCTCTGGTGATACTAGGTACATAAACCATAGAATATGTATTAATGAGGTAGACTACATTTAATGTTTATATTTTACATAATAAAGTAAATACATAAAGATATAATTTATTAATATTTTTTATATAACTGTACCTATTTTATATGTATATTAAAAATAAAGTCTTTTATACGTAATTTTTTATTGTTGTCAACTGGTGGCTCCCTTTAGTGTGAATATTTTGTGTGACATAGGGCAAATTCTAATGTCGCGAATTTAATTGTACAGCGTGTAGCTGATACAACGAACAAAAGTTATTTAACAAGTTTATCGATTAATTTTAAAATTATTTATCAGTAACAACTGTGATTACTCTCAAATTTCATATATATTTTCCTTACCATGGGACAGAACATTGTCAACAAAGCATAAATCGCTCGCTTTCTAATATTGTAAATTCCAATCAAAATAATGTGTACTAGCATTAGTTAGTAAGAATTTGTCTTAATGGATAACAAATTAATCGTAGATTCTCATGTAAATCCAAGCGAATAAATGTGACCCAAAACTCATTTGGGTCACTCTGTGACCCAAAAAATAGAGAAACGTTAGAATCATTAGATCGTTAGGACCGTTACGCTGAGTTCAGTGTCTAAATAAATTTCATTAAAGCGCAAATCTTGTTAAAGTAGTCAATCTATTATAAATACTTAGTTTTAAATATAATTAGTTTAAAAAAAATTATTGTTCGAGTTAATCTTTATTGTTATGTATTTCTTCATTTAAACGTCGAATTGTTTGAAGTTGCAACACGAGCAGAGTGCTTCAGCATTTCACGGGCTGCAACCGTGCCAAATTCCCCAACTATTGGGAAAGCCACGCAACACTATCAAAGAATCTTCTGATTTCACTTTTTGGTAGACTAAAACGAATTATAAAGTTGGCAATATGATGTAAACCTAAGTGACTAATCCCAGAACTGTTATTATTGTCTTACCGACACAGTCCTGAGTCCTTGTGCCCTGGTATGAGAATATATACGTAGTATAATTTGAGTTTAGAAAGAGTTTTGTATCTAATACGTTAGTGAATGTCAAAATGACATCTGTGGATTCAGGAATCGAAACAAGTAACAATTCAGACGATAGTTCGATCGCTCAAAGTGAAGATATGACAATGGAAGAAATTAGTAATGCCAGTTCAGCTCCTACAATAATAACCTGCAATAATAATCACAATGAAATACAAGAAATTAAACCCGGCATTGTTCATACTATATTTAATCCAAATTCGTCTGTTTGCTTATCAAATATGCACGATGGTGTTCAAAATTCTACACCAGCAAGTAGTTCAAGACCATATATTGGTGTATCCCCTAATGTAAGTATTGTTTTTTTATATAAAATATTTTTACATACTTCTATATTTCTCCTTTGATTGTTTCTCCTCTTATTAATATAAACGCGTTTAATACTTTTTCGTTATTTATAATGTAATTATTGTTAGTATGTGAAATTATTAATTTATGCTATAATAAATTATAGCGAACAATTAGATTACTTATAATAATATAGAAGTGATTAATATAACTACTTATTTTTCTTATTAAGAAAATATCATACAAATTTTGAGAAGTAATCACAATATAACGTATAAAGTATATAAAAAATAATTTGTTGCAGGTTTTAGAGGTTAAGTTCCCCTTCAAGTGTAATTCTGTTGGTTCATCAACAGCTAGAACATTTTTAGTAAACCGTAAGTTACTGTGTAAATCCTTTTTAATTATGATACCTTCAATTCAAATTACAGAAATCCAGATTTTTGTGCAATAATAATTAACAAAATATATAACAAGAAAATATTAATGATTACCTTATACATATTTCAACAACATAATTATCTTTTTCTAATAATGTTCTGCATTCTTCTTTTTAGAACATGTTTATTGTAGCAAAATAAAATTGACTAAAGAAAAACGCAGAAACCGTCACTTTGTTTCTCTGGTTGATGATTACACTCGTCTTGTTCAACATAGAATGAGAATTGCAGCAGCTACAAATAACACCATGGTGATGAAAATTCTTTTAGATTCTAATGTTTCACCTAACAGTGGTGATAAACAAGGACGAACTCCTCTTCATCTTGCCTCTTGCAGGTAAATTTGACCCACATAACCGACACTAAATTACCATTTTTTAATAAATATTTCATAGTAGTAATATTATATGCTATTACAGGGGTTATACAGACATGGTTCGTTTGTTATTGGAATATGGCGCAGATCCCAATCTTCGTGATTCTGTAGGTAATACACCATTACATTTAGCAGCCGTGACAAGCAAAATATCTGTAGTTACACTCCTTTTAAATGCCGGAACGGATCCCTTATGCTTAGATCAATATGGTTATAATCCATTACACTTAGCACAAACAAAATTAAAGTTATTACAAAACTGTAAAGGGAAGGATATGATGAAGATCAAAGATGAAGTGCAAAGCATAATTAGTATGTTGTTGGCATATTTACAAAAGTATAAAGATACTCACAAAAGTATGGAAACCTTGACTAGTTTGTGTTCACGTTTATCTTTATCAAACACGTCGAATCAAGTTCAGGATGATGTGAAAGATTTGTTGGCTAATTTAAATGCTCTATCTATAACAAAGTAATCACTTATTCACTTTACCAAACTAATAGTTTTATAAATAAATTGATATAAAACAAAAAAGTGATTAACAGTATGCGTTAAATTTAGTTTGCTCGTAATGGGTTCATTTTAATCAATTAATTTACACACTGAAATTTTTTTTTAAATTTATATAAGTGCGCAATATAACGGTAAAGTTTTGATATACAGTAGAACAGAGTAGAGCTATAATTTGGAAAGTTGTGCGAATGTTAATAAAGTAAGGTATTCGACTTTGACTCATTGACGATAAAAAGAAATATTTACATTTTCTTAAAGTCAAACTATATTTCGCTCGCTTATTATTCTGACTTGATTCTGTATGTTTCTATTGGCTACAAAACAAATCAAGTTTCGATAATTAGCTAATAGGTATTTTATGAAACGTATTTTATAAATTTCATTTTGGCCTCGGAGTGTTATACTTTTGTGTGCTATATTTTCATGTTTTTTTAAATTACTATTGTTTTGGATTTATTGTATTTACAAAACTTAATGCGGATTCCATACAGTACAAAAAAATAAATCTAGGATATCACATCATTAAATCAAGTATGTATTTGATACAAACCATAATCCTCATAAATTTCATAATCCTCATAAATTTCATATTCATCATAAATTTCAATTCATTATTATATATTATATATTAACTATACACTAATATGAAAGTTTGTATTTTCCTTTTCTTCACTCAACTAGTTGGTTTAAATAATAATCGCTAAATAACCATAGGATTATTAATTTAAGAAATTATTATGATTTGATTTTGATAAGTTGTTATGCATACAATGTGCAAATAGTTTTTCTTCAAGACGATTAAAAAATGATGTGCTACATAAACTTTTTTAAGTTTATAAAGCTGCAAATAGAGTGCAAAAATAAAAGCTGAAATTTATACAATTTATATAGATATTGATAGAGTAAGATTGTTCATGTAAATTTATCTCTATAAATTTTGAAAAAAGGATTTTGCTTTATTTTTTATATATTTATTTTACATAATATACATATTTACATGTATATTATTTTGTTTTTCAATAATTTCTTTTTATATTAATATTTTCTATACATATCTTCTGAGTTATTAAATATCTTATTGATATTGAACTTTATGTCCCCCTTTTTAGGTTTTCAAACAATACAAAACAATAAAGATATAAAAGTAGGCTGCAAGATATATTGTAGCATATACATACTTCGTACTTTCATTACTATTTTAGGATGTATGACATTTTCTAAATTTTAAATAAATACATAAGCTAACAAATAAAGTATAGTTGTAAACATATATCCTCATTCATTCTCATAAAAAATTTCAAATAGAAAGAATCTTAAAGTGCATTCCTAATAAACGTCTTCAAAATATTTCGATTCTTATATGAAATATTGTGTGCTATAACAGTGTATCAATTTTGTTAAATATTGTAGTTGTCGCATTGTTGTATATATTCTTTCACTCTGTTTGCAGCCTCAACACTAACTATGGGAATTATATAAATGTGTGAACATATGAACAAATTATGTCGAATTCAAGTTGTTAGCATTTACCTTGTAAATATATATCTTTTACATTGATATTCCCAACTAAAAAAAGAGTGAAATATTTAATCTTTAACATTGAACGTAATTAAGGTTTTGTATAACTTCCTGCAAATTATTCATTTACATAACATTGAATGACATTAACTAAATGAAATTCTGTTTGAATCTTACAGTACTTTTTATTCTTATACAATATTAAGATGATAGTGAAAATTGGTGTAATTTTTCAAGTATGATGTATGATGCCTGAATTAGAGTGATATTTCTAGTGTATTATTGAAAGCTAAGTTCTATATATATCATGATACGAGTTTTGCTATGATGGAAATACAATTTATGGTCGCGATACTTTTGTAAGACTAGAATTGACAATCGTGAAAGATCGTGTTTTGTGTTCTCTATCCATATATAAACTTATAAGCAACTTATATGTAACTACTTTATATATAAACTGTAAATAAGTGATTTCCCTGTTAGCAGTACTTACGGCAGATCTATAAATAAAAAAAGAAGTATCTTGTTTCATACGAATTTATGTATACAGGAAAACTCTAATTTTTCCTGTGTATAAGCTGCTTCAATCAAGTGCATTAAAGAAAACTGTGAGTTTTTCTTATATTCTGATATATATCAGTTCCTTTTCGTTCATTTTTTCTGGTTATGTCGTAGCTGTATGCAAATAAAAATATGTATAACATTGGAAAAATTATAGTTATATCAGATTGAAAGAAGCTTGGTTTGATTAATCAGATTGAAAGAAATTTTATGGTGATTTTCCTTGTATCAATATCGAAATAAATAAGTGATAAACTAGAGTTTCTTTTTTATGTACATAATTTTATAAGTGTGTTAATGTTTTTGTAAGTTACAAATAATTTGTAATTAATTTTTGTGCTATCATCGTAAAATATAGATAGGAATGTCTTTTTATAACTTGCAACTTCTGTAATACTCATTAAATTACAAATATGATTCAGGATGACTCACATTTATATTGGTATACTCTAATATGTTACACACTGGCAACTATAAATATGCAATTTTTAGGCACAGAAATAATATTCATTAACTACAATAGTTTTAAGCAAACCACGGGATGATAGAGGTTTTATGTAAAGAAATTTATTATCATATATATTTGCTATCATACTAAATAACTTTCATTATTCTCAAAAACATTAACGATCGTTCCGCAAAAAAATAGCGGAATAACAAAAATCAATATACATTACAATATTGATCTCATCGATGACAAATATTTTTTCCTTTGAGCGGTAATGTAGCGATTCTCTAAGAATATGCAAAAATTTAGCGCTTCTTTATTTTTTTATAACGAGATGACTATTTGTCCTATTTTTAATGTTATAATATATATTGAAAGGAACTAGTAAAAATGAAAAAACTTAGAAAAAGATCATGTGTAACACAATTACATTTGTTGAAAATTTTGGGACAAATATCGAACAAAAATGTCATTTACAGCCTTATGCTTTAAGTTAAAAACCCTTATTAGTCACATTTCTACAAAAAACATTTTTATAAAATAATTGTTTAATCATTATAGTTAACCTCAAAATTTTGATTATCGATCCTTAGAGATTTTAAGCATTCTTCAGTATTTACAATAGTTTCTTAGCTCATGACTATATTGGTACATACATTCGAAAAAATGTGTCTTAATTGAAGTAAATTCATTTCTTGGAAAAATTTTATATATACTTAAATTGATACCAAAATGATAACATTCAGGAGCATACAAATGTGTTATGTGACTAGAAAGGATCAACTAGAACTCTTCCTAGCAATCGTAAACATATCTGCAATTATAAAGAATCATTAATTTTCTATTACAAATGTGCCATTGAAATCTTATCCATACTGAATTTGCAATGTATTTTGTACATAATTTATAAAATGATAATTTTGATTTCTTCTTGTTGACTGTGCTATAAAATGAAATTGATTGTCTGAAGATAGTACAAATGGAACTATGTCAATATTATTTACTGTTCTTTTGTTTTGTGCCTTTTGTGAATAAAATTCTTGTGTTCCTTTGATTTTTGGGAAAACATTAACAATTTACAAACCCTATTATACTGCACAGCATGTAACAATAAATAAAATAATAAATATATATAATTGGTTTCTTTGTTTTGTGAAAAGCTTTAACTCTTGTTAGTTAAATTAAGATCCTTGGCATTTATGACACAAGCAGAAACACAAGATTTGGCACGAAACTAAGGATAGAATAATAAAACCTTAAAAGAAATAATATAGAGAAAAAGAAAATCATCTATATACTTCTTAATTATCTTTACGCATCTCTTGGCACAAATTTACACGTATAAAATAATACAATTTATACAAATTATAATCATCGCAATATTTGTTAAACGTTATATCGATTATCTCTATAAAAATGCTTTTAGCAACTAAGAGAACATCGATGAAATTTTTCTATAATAAATGAAAATTCTTCGTTTCGATATTAAAGCGCAACTATATAACAGTATCAAACACCTCTCTAGTGTCCTCTCGATATTAGTTCTTCTTTTCTTTTTAAATTGTGCACTCTTATGAATCAGATATTGGATCTTTAACGTGCCGCATATTATCTGTTAATTATTATGATATGTTCTTATGTCGTTCTTATAGCGGCTAATGATGTCTCGAAAAAATATTTCGTAAGCGTAAGATCAAAAGACGGTATCTGTGCGTTGTATCGAAAGATTGACATGTTCTTTCTTTAATCTAAAATGCGTCTAAATGTACAAAATTTGAGAACTATCGCGATTAAATCAATACTGTATGCCAGCATTTAGACCGCGTGATAATAACAACCTGGTCGATAAAATGCATACAAGCTTAAAAAATTAGAATCTTTACAAATTCGATCGAGAAGATCGAAATTAATTCTTTTATGCTTACAATGGAAGCTACAACGTATTATATGCTATACAATCGTTTAAGAAATACAATACATGTACTTATTTACATCGCTGAAAGAACAACCAGAAGGTATTGAACGGAGGAAGTTATCGTTAATCCTTGATGAATTTTAATAATACCCTTTGGTAAATAACGAGGAGGAAGATACATCTAATCATCGAATTACTCAACTTATTATATTGTTATAATATTGATTTCGATTTATATCTAACTTTCATGACCAATTCGTTGTATAAATCGAGGATTAGGAAAACTAGCATAAAATCCATGAAATATTTTGAAGTTATACTATTATACGTTGCATAGGAAACAGTCCACAAAGTTAGGATTTAGGCTAATTAATAAAATTACAGATAACTATTTAGTAAGCACTATTGAACGCTGTTATATGGTATGGTTCATCAACCGCATCCGAAAATTTTCAGACGTTTTGTACATCTTAAACAATTAAAAAACTTACGTGTTTAAGATACTTATAATATTTATACATTGAAAGGTTCTAAAGTGAATTAAGCTATACAATTTTTATAGTTATACAAAGGAATGTTAAATAGCCGTTAATCTTTAAATGACTTTTTTTGGAAACTGAATGCGTTGTAGGAGAGAAATTACATGAATTTTTGAAATTTTTATCTCCTTTGAATCCAAATTCAATCGAGTTTTATTTATGAGATGCAATTAGGAATGTACTTAAAAATGCATGGGGAATACTTTAATTTTTATTACCGTTAAAACTACTGATGTAAAATTATCTCGAGATAAAAAAATTAATGAAAATAAAAAAAGGTTTTAATCTAATTAGTATTTTCAATGTATTTAATTTTGATGCGTGAACCACGTCTGTAAAGTTTCAAATAACAGCATCGGATTATGTCGTACAAACGATAAACCTCTAGGAAATAACAAGTTCAGCCTATACAAATTATGGCTACATTAATATCGCTAATTTATACATATGTACTCGTATACATCTGATGAAACGAATTAATATCATAGTTTAGGATGTACATCTATCGCAATTTTTTGAGCTAAATCGTATTTACGTATTGCGAAC